TAAAAAAAGAAAAAAAAAACAACATAAAAAAAAAAAAAAAAAAAATTTTGAGGCCAAAAAATTAAAAAAAAAAATTCAAACAATTGGGGGGGTCCTGGACCCCCCAGGACCCCCCTCCCCTCCGCCCCTGCATAAGTGATCGTAGGCCGTTCCATTTGTACGATTAATATTTAATAAATGTAATAGCACAAATAAATAAAATTTTATTTATTATAAAATCGCACAATAGCAAAACTATATTATATGGATACACAACTCAATACTCCATTATGCTATAACACAGTAGATCAATGAGTTTTCATATTTGTGTGCTTTTATATACTTTTAGTGCTATTAGACTTGATTAAATATGCTAATTGAAAGAATATCTGCCTAGATTAGTGTAATTTTATTAATTGTAAATAATATTTGAGCTTGGATGCAATTGACACGAAAAAGGATGATTTCGAGCTAATTTAAAGTCAGCTCAGCAGATTAAAGACTAACCAAGTAGCATGAAAGTAACAAGAAGTAAAGAGAGGTATCGGAATAAAATTGCAAGTTTCAAGATGGAATTCAACTTTTGAAAAGTTTGTATATTAAATTGCACACTTTCAATTCTTGAGGAGGACCAATTTTGAATGTTTATGAAGTTTTGGGATCAAATTGGAAGATTTTGAAAGTTTTGACATCATTTTAAACTGGGCATGAACCCAATTACTGTAGCCAATATCACCGTGCCATCTTTCTGCTATGCCAATTTCTGAACGGCCTCTTAAAATTATAAGAATACTGTTTATACTATTCCAATGATCTGATCGGCCTTTATATTAAATGAAATATTGTTTTGCAAAATTTCTTAACGTCTCACTTAGAAGAATAGAAAACGAAACAAAAGGCAAGGCCACGTACAAACCTGTTGCCTTACTTTTCCATGGCCAGTCCACTACGTTGTCGACCCCACTTCTATAAAGGTTAAGACTTGAGACTTCCTAAAAAGCATTCAATTTCTAATAAATGTGAGGGAGTTCCACCTAATACAGGCAGTGCATCATGATGTCTTATCGTGGTCTTGACATGTACCACAATCAAAGCATTCATCCACTCAGCTTTTTCAGTTGATGAGAAAAACTAAAATCTTAACCCATTTAGTAGGTCACGAATGTCTAAAGTCTTAGAATAATGCTATCTAACAGCAGTGTTGTTAGAGCACCAGTTTAGATTACAAAACTTGATATGTTCAATTAAATAAATCATATTACATTAAATTTAAGTGAGTATATCATTTCATATCTACAGTTGACACCAGTAGTGATGAATAACATTACTCAAACCTTTTTTAGGATGAATGGGGCAAGTGGGGAATTGTGTGGTTTATTTTTTCCCTCCTTTCCTACTTCTTTCCTTTTTCCTTCGTGTTTTTTCTCTTTCTTCTTAATTTAGTATTCGTTTATTCAAGGATGGGGTAATCAATAAGTGTCTTTTTAGCAAAACTCTTAAGATCTCAGAGGTTAGTTCAACACAACTACTATCTAGTCTGGATCTATTTGCTATAGAAATGAAAGATTGGCGACTACTCAGCTACAAATTACAGATAAAGAACCGGTTGTTCTGTTTCAAGTAAGTTGAGGATCTCGGTTTTAGTTTTCCAATTTGTTATTGTCTCTTTCCACGGGTGGAGTCAGGGCTGGACCGCAAAAAACATTATGCTGATCTATCATGTAAAAAAAAATCAGGCTAATACACAAATCTGTCTTTCTCTTGCATGATTCTTCGTGTGAAATATTTCCACGAAAACACTACCTAATACATGTATTCATGTTTATTTGATCACAAATCTTAAGAAGATCCCAATTACAAGACTTAAAACCCCAATTGTGGTGGAACCAAAAATCATTCTACATATCACGTATTTTTCCATAACAGAAACCAACAGCATGTTCGCGATTACCACCGTTCACAATGGGACGGCAACAATTTGATAATAATCTGGCAATCCAAACCATATAGGTGGAGCGCACTGCCAATATATAATCTCATGATTGATTCATTTGTATAAAAGAAAGGAGAAAGGTAAAATATAATCACATATAATCCCAAACGCAATCACCATGCAATAAAAGCAGTCAAATTTACAATTTACACACTTGTAGGCACAAAAGGCTAATATTCAAACCCAACTTCAGCATGAAATTTGACAAACTCACCATCATAAAAACTATGCCTGAGAAGAAACCTCTGGATTTAATAGAGCCGTTATCTTCTTTTGCAGTTCTGGCTTGTTGGCTCCCACTAGTTTGTCAAATTGCTGGCCATCTCTAAGGAAGAAGAACGTTGGAGTCGCTTTGATGTCCCATGTTGTACTGAAATCCTGAAGCAAATAACAACATATATAAATCTGGCTCACAGAATGTTGCTTACTTGAGGAACATCGTAAATGTTTTGCTTAAGGTAATCCTGTTTAATGCATTCTAACTACCCGCCACTATTTATCCAGTGGGTACATGGTCGAACCATCACAAGAAACTTCAAATGTAGATAACCTAAAGTTTATCAATTCAGGTTATTTAGTAGTCACACTACTTACAGTTAGCTCATCAACATCGATTACTAGAAACATTAGTGAAGGATGTTTCTCAGACAGCTCGATGTAAAAGGGTGAAATAATTCTACAGGGACCACACCATGCAGCGCTAAAATTTGCAATCACCTGTCAAATAATCAACACGTGTTAGGAAAAGCATAATGAAGTATGGTAATGCAGTAAACACAAGTATGCAGGAAAAACTGAAAAGACAATTCTTACCACAAGGTCAAATTTAACCTGATTAGCTAATATTTTAAGCCTTACAAGATACACTACACCATGGCAATTGAGGTCTAATGCAATCCACACTCCACTCCCAATTTCGGAAACTATTAATGCCACATTTACAAAGAGCCCTGAAATATCATTTGACCGATAAACCTCATGCACTCTTAGTCACCACATAAATTTTATTAACCAAGTCAAGAAGAAGATGAAGCAAAAGAAGTAATGTCTTCGTCAACAAGTCAACCATCCAAACCAAATGCCAAAACCCTCCTTCAGTTTGCACACCTGCCTGTTTCGTTGCTATTTCTAGCCCTTACCACTTTCCAATCCAACCACCATATAACCTTTTTTCCCACCAACCAGTTGTGGCATCTATCCCAAAGATCCCCAGACCCCGCATTCAAATTGCTCAAGCCTCAACCCTTCCTCCCTTGCCCACCACTACTCCCTACTTCCCCTCTCTCCTTCGAAAAAGACAAAACCTTCTTCATTATCACACCAAGCCTAGACCTCACTTCTACAAACTAAAGCCACCATTAACTCATGTTCATCTCCGCCTAATGGTCTTCTATACACACTCTCACCCCAACAGTCATATAAAGTGATATATGCAAAGAAAACATGACATTTACTCTATGTTTCTCTTCCTTTACTTACGTGTGCACGCACATACCACACAAATATGAATGAACTTTTCCTGAAATTAAATTAAGATACTTCTCCTTAAGTTGGAATGCTCAATCTCAACACTCATTTTGGGTAATCGACACAAGTCATGAACCTTGTTAGAACTGCTCACACTCTGTAAGTGTGTGCATAGACATCTTTGTATAAACTTGTTTCTAAATAGAAAGTGCAAAGAGTGGGTGGGTCTGTGTAGATAAATTTATAGATTACTCGATATTATGTTGGGTGGGAGGTTGGCAGTAGTGTTAGCAATAGAAACAAGCATGGAAAAACACCGCAATATGGTTGACATCTTCAAAATTCATTAAACAATGCACAACTATAAAAGTTTTCTCCAGGCTGAACTTGATGAAAAAAATAACAATGTGTCGAGTGCTCACAATCCTGCCATCTCTCTTTGCTTCTGCCATCTTTTGTTCCCAACTTTCCTCAGTTGTGATGAGGTGCACATTTCCACCCGTAAATTCAATGTCATGATCAGAATCATCCCCATCTCTCTTATGCTGTAAAAGGTTCAATATAAAGTATCTTTTGTTAAAGTGCATAAACATAAATATGAAACCATGCAAAATATGACTTGAGCACCATAAAATGGGCTAATACTTTCAAACTTTAACTGCTAAAAGATGTAGGAGAAATGCAAAGGTTGAACATGTAAAAGCTTTTGGATTATGCTTCCACAAGAGCAAGCCTTGTATATTTTTTGTTGATGATGGCAGCAAAATTGGATACAGACCTAAAGAGGCCCCTTGCAAACAGATACGAAAATAAGTAACAACTGGCAGAAGAAAAGAAAGTAAAAGCTACAATTACTGCTTGAGACTGATACTACGCAGTCAAGACTTAGCACGTGAGTAAACTAAAAATCAGTCTTCAAATTTATTAGGGAACCAATTTTGCCACTCCATCTTTATCATTTTTTACCACGGAAACTCAATCTTTCTCAAAGTGAATAACCGTATCCAAGCAAATTTTGGGAACGCATAAATCATTTACCACTTGTTATTGCACCATTGAAAACTAGAGACCCAAGCCACATACCCATTTCCTCCAAAACTGACAGTAAACAAATAATGATTCTCACTCTGTGCATTGAACAGTCCATCCCTCCTGTAAAGGTTAATCCGTTCTTTACAATTACATAGAGACATTCAACTAATAAATGAGATGACTCGAGAGAAGAAAGTAACCACATCAATAGACGGAAGCAATTATTGAAAAAACTTACAAACCTAGACCTAAAAGGCTGAAATAAAATTAATAGCCAGATTAATGAATTACTAAATTGTGCTTAATCACAAATTCTAGAATATCAGCACGTAAACATACCTTGGCTAAACAAAGTCCCATTCTTGCTTAGAAGACTCTCAATTTACAAATTCAACACAGTATCCTTAAGGACAGTGAAACTATACCACCTGTGGAATCTGTGAACAAGAAAGGAAAATAATAGATTCATTCAATCAAATTTACCATCTGCCATCTGGTACGGTCAACATTTTATAATCCTCTTGATATGCGAGATTCGGAAACGTGAAATCACGAAGTTGCCTCGGGTGGCACGTGCTTTGAGGGAAAATGTTAAAATTTCATGCTTTAACAATAAATCTCGTTTAAAATTCAATTATTTAGAACATACGATTCTAGTATATAATTCGTGGGCAGTAAACTAACAAATCAAAAAGGTCTGAGATTTTCTTCACATGCAGTTACGAATTAAGATAAGAAATGAAATAACGCATCCTTGACCTGTTAAATTGAAGTCTTACTTTGAAGATCTTCTCAGTTGCAAGACGCGGATGCAGATCAAGGCTCCAATTATAAGGAATTGAAAGGAATGCAAACTTATGGGGATTTTGAGAATTTATAGTGTAGTTTATGTAATCAATACGTACACACACGGCTACACAGTGCAGATAAACCTATTTTCAAGAATAAAAATATGAATTGATATTAATATCCTTCTTCCTCGAGTCCAATTAGGCCATGTTTGTACTGGAAAGGGGATTCTGATTCACTGAAAGGAAAGAGGGGAAAGTAAGAAAAGGAAGGACGAGGGGATGGCATTTCTTTCGGGGAAATTTAAGAGCGTGTTTTGCTGTCACCCGTGTAAGTAAAAGTTTTTATTTTAGGATAAACCGTGCTTGGGTTCGATTGTGACGCATGAGGATGGATCCTGAATCAAGGATTTCTATCACGTAAAATGGCTAATTACCACAAAATGTTCTTTATCTTTCAATCGTTTTTTTGCAAGACGTCTTTACCTTTCACCTTTTGATATTTTCACTTTTCATTGCGGAAAATATCATTCCATCCACTTATCGTCAATTGCTTTGTTAACTCAACACAAAAAGCAAAATTTCTTTTCAAAAATCAAGGGTAATATATTCTAAACCCCATTTTGAACCCAATTTTGAAGAAATAATGTATTTTAGAATATTAGATTGATGGAGAATGTGTGGTTAAAAATTAAGAAAAAAGTTTTAAATTGCATTTAATATTATTTTACTACAGATTTTATGGTTGAAATTTAATTTTAAAAAAAATTAATTTTAGAAAAATGGGGCTCAAACAATCCCTCGACTTTGAGGCAAACCCACAAAAACACTCTCTTTATCCTCAATATATCATTCAAATGATATATTAAAGAGATTCAAGCCTCAAACTCTATTTCATCATATTCCAATTCCAGACCCAATCTCACTTTTCCACTTCAGTTTTCAGGCCCTGAATGTATGCAATTCTTACGCTTTTTTTTTAATGAAACAATTAGGACTCGGTGTCTCCTTTTGAGGCTAAATTTATTAGATTAAATTCCATTTTTTCTTTATTTTTTTTCAAGGTCGCTTCTTGTTTTCTTGAATTGATTGAAATTGTGAAATTGCACCTAAAGTCAAGGCTTTATTTAAGATTGCAAAACAATTTTTTTTATGTTAGTTTGTCTCAAAGCTTTTCTTTTCTTTTCAATTTTGAACTGCGATACAGATTTTTTAAATATAATTTTTGTGTCAATTTTCCTATATGTTTATATATTTGAAATGACCAACTAAGACAAGTTTTCGAACGAATTCAGTTGAATGAATTTCATTAGATTCTCCTGCTCAAATTTGAAATTCTTAGTGTTATAACATTTTGTTTAACTTTCACTTGAAGGTTTTACTTTCAAAGTGACAAATTCCAATAAAATGGGAAATTGGTATAAACCAATTGAGTTATTGAAGATAAGCTGGCTAAGAGTAGCCCCCGCTTGAAACCTAGAAATACACCTCTTAACACAATTTTAGTTCATGATCATCACGTTTATCTACAGAGAAGTCTGAATTCACCTCAAAACAATCTTGTCTTCTTCAATTATGGATAGAGATTAATAATGAAGGCACTAATCTTTTGATCTGGCTTTCATCTGTGACAGAATTCAACTGTGGAAGCAATTGCCACCCTTGAAAATGATAACACAAAATTACGAGCTGAGGTATCGAGTCCAGCTACCTGAATAATCATCATTAAATAGTTGAACTTGTTTGTCTATCCACCTGGATATCTTTATCTTTCAACTCTTATGGATTGATTTATTGGTTATTTCTCCTACTAATGAAGTTGTACATTACAAACCACATTGCATGTTACGATGCCTTGCAATATAGTTTGACGGTTAAAAACATATGCCCTTGATATAGTATTTCGCTGTGGTCAGAAATGACTTGCTAATATGGCTGTTACATATTGGTAGTTTGTGTATGACATGACCCCCATCCCCAATGTTTAGTCATTCGGCTCTGCCTCTTGGCGTTTACATCCTAGTAATTCCTAGAGATGAGAAGAATGCCATGGCATTGCACACATGATACCTCTCAGTGGTCCTATTTAGGACAAGGTTCTCTATTATTCTGCTTTGGTAAATGGAATCATAACCTATTCCTGGCAGTTGATGAAGTTGGAAGGGCCAAGGAGGACCCTCTTACAAGAAAATCATATTTTGACAGAAAACGTATCTAGTCTGCAGTCACAGATCAACAAACTTGAGAGCAGTGCTGCTTTTTTCTCATTCCTCTGCAGAGAAAAAAGTGGTCTGTTTTTTGTTTTCCTGTATTTTCCTTCCAACTTAGCATAATTGCAGCTTTATTTTGAGATTCGAATTTTCAAGTAAGGAAATGTGTTTTTGCTTATTAAGGGATTGAATCTATTATTTTATTTTGTCTCTTATCGTACAGTCAACATTGTAATGAGAATTTTTCATTTTGATGTCGCTTACCTCTGAAAATTGGGATGCAGATTATCAGATAGAAGCTGCACTTCCACTGGTCGAGAATTTGATTAAAGAAAATGCAGAGCTTGTAGAAAAGGTAATATATCATAATGTGGTACGGTAGGCAGAAGCTGTGGTAGCAGATGCACTAGTTTTATTTGGCGTCCATATTTTCAGAGTCACCTACTTGTCACTTGGCCTTTCTCTAGCAGTTCTTCCCCTCCTAACTACTGTTCGCTTGACTTGAGTTTGGAAGAGTTACATTCATATCCGTATTAAAAAACTCGCAGTAGTGCTCATTGCTAAAGTAATGGTAATCAACAAACTAGGACCAATTTGCACAAGAATTACAGTTATTTTTATATTGTTTCAGGTGAACGAGTTGTATTCTGAGCTTGAGCAAAGGGGTTCAAAAATGGAACTCTCTTCCTCTGTTGGCTCTAATCCAATGGGTGTGATTCCTCAATCAGCTAATGTTGCCGATACCTCAGCTATTGTGATGCATCCAACAGTTGGAACTGCCGATAAATTTGGAACTGCATATTCAACTGATTCCACATCTGAAGCTGGTAAGATAACGTTTGTATTGCCTGAGAGCAGAGTACTTGGAAGATGTCATCATCAAAGAGGCGAGGAATGGCAAGCACGTTGATGCCAGAGATGGTAATGCACTCGCTAACACTGTCAGAAATGGAGTCGGATGAAATTGTGCAAACTCCTTTAGATGAGAACGAAGTTATGGATGCGTCTGATATAGAGGCTGGACAAAATGATTAGAAAATTGGCGTACGACTATCAGAAACTCCTTTGATTGGTGCACCATTCCGTTTAATATCATATGTGCCCTCTAAAATCCTACCTTCAGGGTCGTTGAGGTGAGTACCTGGCCGTAAATTTCAAAACGTCGTGGGATTAGTCGAGGTACGCGCAAGCTGGTCTGGATATTCACGGTTATCAAAAAAATAAAATCCTACCTTCCTAGATTACGTTTATATCATATTATAGACAGATAATATTGACCCCACATATACGGATGAGACAGAAAGCCATTGTTTTTATCAGGCAGATAGAAGCCGCTCAGAGTCTGGGAAAAGCATTTTTCTTGAAGCTACTCATCTCTTGTGGGCCCATGGCCCCTTGTAACTGATTTTGTAGAAGAAGTTTGAAGTTCTTTTCGCCTTGAGGACCCTATATCATGTTCAATTATTTATTCTTAGTCTATTATCACAACATCAACAATATTTCTAGTTGTCCATCGACTAAAAAATTCTAGTAGTTATGTCGTTTTTGTCCATTTCTATATTTTCTAATTTAAAAAAAGTTCTCCTAATAAATTCAAAATATCGAAAAGACATATCAGTGACGTATAGACTAAACAGCAGAAAGGCCTAGAATGGATTCATATTTAAGGGTTAAAATAGCAAGCGAACCTCACATCTAATATTTTAAGGGTTAAAATGAGTAAACACTTAATTTTAATGGAAAGTTGATTGAGAGCAAAACCTCTTCTTCTGTCTTCTAGCCTAAAGAATCGGACTCATTTAAAATCTTTACCGAATCATGACCGGCCACCATATTAGCAAATGGGGCATTTTCATTGTGAAGGATTCAATCAAACCACACGTTCCCCTGCAGCGACCTTGTTACGATTCACCCCAGTCGATGACCCATAAAGGAAAAGAGAGAGAGCCAAACGGGAAAAGATAACAAAATAAAATAAACAAATAAAAAAGGGAGGGAGGGAGGAAAAAAGAACTAAAACAAAATGCATATTTAAATGAGTAATATGGAACAAATGGAGTACAGTGATCAACATAAAGTTTCGGCTAAAGTTCAGAGATCACTCTTGTTATTAACCAAATTAAATCCTATAATCGTAAAAACTACAACACCATTCAAAATTGTGGCAGAAAAGTTAGTCGACTCAGTTCGTATGGAGAGACTTTCCCATAACATATTATCATAAACTCTGACGTAACAACTTTATTTATCTCTTTCATTAAAAAGGGTTATACGAAATGAAAGATGAAAATAGAGTGAGAGCACTTCACAGAGGTTATAAAGGGCTAAAAGGTTCTGGTAGTGGTTCTAGTCCATTATCAAAAATTGGTTCTTGGTCAGACTTGTCTTCCACACTGTGAAGCCAATTGGTGTTCTTCAAATCCTCTTTGAGGAGAATCATGTCATAACGGGAGCTTTCGTAAATATCGGCATTTGATAGTTTAGCTGAAGATTTGTCATCTTCATTTCCCCTTACGGTAGACCTGTTAATGGAATTCCTGTTTTCTGCAGTGGAGCCATGCTTGCCGAAAGGCAGGGTTCCATTGACAGATACTGCTGCACTTGTCGAGTGACTGGATTGGCTTTTCCGGTTGGTGGATCGAATACTTTGAGGGTAAAGGTTTGAGCCTGTGAGGGGACGAGCACTGTTGGCACCATTTTTTATATCCTGCCATAGAATGGGGAATTTGTGAGCTCTAATGAACCCGCAGCGGGCGGGCTTTTTTTCACGCGGGCCGTTACCGGGCTCACATGTTGGCGGGCCGACCCGGCCCGGACCACCCGGATTGACACCTCTATATTTAGGACAAGCTTCTCTATTATTCTGCTTTGGAAAATGGAATCATAACCTATTCCTGGCAGGTGATGAAGTTGGAAGGGCCAAGGGGGACCCTCTTACAAGAAAATCATATTTTGACAGAAAACGTATCTAGTCTGCAGTCACAGATAAACAAACTTGAGAGCAGTGCTGCTTTTTCTCATTCCTCTGCAGAGAAAAAAGTGGTTGGTTTTTTGTTTTCCTGTATTTTCCTTCCAACTTAGCATAATTGCAGCTTTACTTTGAGATTTGAATTTTCAAGAAAGGAAATGTGTTTTTGCTTAATAAGGGATTGAATCCATTATTTTATTTTGTCTCTTAATATGGTCAACGTTGAAAGAGAATTTTTCATTTTGATGTAGCTTACCTCTGAAAATGGGGACGCAGATTATCAGATAGAAGCTGCACTTCCACTGGTTGAGAATTTGATTACAGTAAATGCAGAGCTTGTAGAATTAGGTAATATATCACAATGTGGTAGGGTAGGCAAAAGCTGTGGTAGCAGATGCACTACTTGTTTTATTTGGTGTCCATATTTTCACTATCACCTACTTGTCACTTGGCCTTTCTCCAGTAGTTCTTCCCCTCCCAACTACTGTTCGCTTGACTTGAGTTTGGAAGAGTTACATTCATATCCGTATTAAAAAACTCGCAGTAGTGCTTATTGCTAAAGTAAAGGTAATCAACAAACTAGGACCAATTTGCACAAGAATTACAGTTATTTTTATATTGTTTCAGGCGAACGAGTTGTATTCTGAGCTTGAGCAAAGGGGTTCAAAAATGGAACTCTCTTCCTCTGTTGGCTCTAATCCAATGGGTGTGATTCCTCAATCAGCTAATGTTGCCGATACCTCAGCTATTGTGATGGATCCAACAGTTGGAACTGCATATTCAACTGATTCCACATCTGAAGCTGGTAAGATAACGTTTGTATTGCGTGAGAGCAGAGTACTTGGAAGATGTCATCATCAAAGAGGCGAGGAATGGCAAGCACGTTGATGCCAGAGATGGTAATGCACTCGCTAACACTGTCAGAAATGGAGTCGGATGAAATTGTGCAAATTCCTTTAGATGAGAACGAAGTCATGGATGCGTCTGATATAGAGGCAGGACAAAATGATTAGAAAATTGGCGTACCACTTTCGGAAACTCCTTTGATTGGTGCACCATTCCGTTTAATATCATATGTGCCCTCTAAAATCCTACTTTCAGGATCACTGAGGTAAGTACCCGAACGTAAATTTCAAGACGTCGTAGGATTGGTCGAGGTGCACGCAAACTGGCCCGGACACCCACGGTTATCAAAAAAAAAAAAAACCCTACCTTCCTAGTTTGATGTTTATATCATATTATAGACAGATAATATTGACCCCACATATATGGATGAGACAGAAAGCCATTGTTTTTATCAGGCAGATAGAAGCCGCTCACTGCTCAGAGTGGGAAAAGCATTTTTCTTGAAGCTATTCATCTTGTGGGCCCATGGCCCCTTGTAACTGTTTTTGTAGGCGTAGTTTGAAGTTCTTTTCGCCTTGAGGACCCTAAATCATGTTCAATTATTTATTCATAGTCTATTATCACAACATCAAGAATATTTCTAGTTGTCTATCGACTAAAAAATTCTAGTAGTTATGTCGTTTTTGTCCATTTCTCTATTTTCTAATTTAAAAAAAGTTTGACTAATAATTTCCAATAGAAAATAAATTCAAAATATCGAAAAAATATACCACTGACGTATAGACTAAACAACAGAGAGGCCTAGAATGGATTCATATTTAAGGGTTAAAACAGCAAGCGAACCTCACATCTAATTTTAATGGAAAGTTGATTGAGCACAAAACCTCTTCTTCTGTCTTCTAGCCTAAAGAATCGGACTCATTTAAAATCTTTAATGAATCATGACCGGCCACCATATTAGCAAATGGGGCATTTTCATTGTGAAGGATTCAATCACACCACAAGTTCCCCTGCAGCTACCTTGTTACGATTCACCCCAGTCGATGACCCATAAAGGAAAAGAGAGAGAGCCAAAAGGGAAAAGACGACAAAATAAAATAAACAAATAAAAAAGGAAGGAAGGGAGGGAGGGAGGGAAAAGAACTAAAACAAAATGCATATTTAAATGAGTAAAATATGGAACAAATGGAGTACAGTGATCAACATAAAGTTTCGGTTAAAGTTCAGAGATCTCTCTTGTTATTAACCAAATTAAATCCTATAATCGTAAATACTACACCACCATTCAAAATTGTGGCAGAAAAGTTAGTCGACTCATTTCGCATGGATAGACTTTCCCATAACATATTATCATAAACTCTGAAGTAACAACTTTATTTCTCTCTTTCATTAAAAAGGGTTATACGAAATGAAAGATGAAAATAGAGTGAGAGCACCTCACATAGGTTATAAAGGGCTAAAAGGTTCTGGTAGTGGTTCTAGTCCATTATCAAAAATTGGTTCTTGGTCAGACTTGTCTTCCACACTGTGAAGCCAATTGGTGTTCTTCAAATCCTCTTTGAGGAGAATGTCATAACGGGAGCTTTCGTAAATATCGGCATTTGATAGTTTAGCTGAAGATTTGTCATCTTCATTTCCACTTACGGTAGACCTGTTAATGGAATTCCTGTTTTCTGCAGTGGCGCCATGCTTGCCGAAAGGCAGGGTTCCATTGACAGATACTGCTGCACTTGTCGAGTGACTGGATTGGCTTTTCCGGTTAGTAGATCGAATACTTTGAGGGTAAAGGTTTGAGCCTGTGAGGGGACGAGCACTGTTGGCACCATTTTTTATATCCTGCCACAGAATGGGGAATTTGTGAGCTCTAANCTGCCACAGAATGGGGAATTTGTGAGCTCTAAGCATGATAGTTTTAGCTTCATTGACATAAAAAGTCCAATCACATCAATGGATGTAGATAGGCTCCACTAGATACAACATAGTCCCAATTTCAGAAATTAACATTCCTAAACTCTATTGTTACTGATTCTAGTCGAAGCTATTCAATATGTCATCATGTTTAAGTTATTATCAATTTGCTGCTGTTATGAATGGTAAGTTTATTCTTACCATTGATAGTCCCACTTGAAACGGAAAGATTAAATAAAACCAAAGTTTGACAACCGCTAAGTGAATACTCTAGGATATCTCTTTTAGATGCAATTAAGAAAATGACCACAAATTGCTAAAAGCAGAGAAAAATTAAGTTGAGAGTATATTTACCATATTTCTGATAGCCACATCTAGAGATTTTTTTGAAATATTCCGGCCAAATCCAGTGCTTTCTGTTGATATATTCACAGGTTTTCGAGCTGATAACTCTCTGCGAGAGTCAATTGTATGATCACTGAGCTGCCCATTTGCATGCATCCGACCCCTTCCAATGGATTCCGTGATTCTTCCCCGGACAACCATGGGTGATGGCTGTCTCCTTGGAAAAGTGGTAGAACTTGTTGTCTCGGTATTCCCTTTCAAAGTAAGAGCTGCACCAGGCCTTGACCTACCGGCAGATGGGGGCCTGTCTGGTAAAGTTGTTCGCAGGTTTGGGGGTGTTTCAAGTGGAAAATCTGGGGGTACAATAGGCTGTGGTTGAGGCCGAACTCGTGGACCAGGGGAGCTCGGGCGGGAAACTGAAGCAAGATTCTGCCTTGCAAGAGTACGTCCTCCTGAGGCTGAAGGTCCTGTTACAGGAGATATAGACGGT